ATCTGTTTGTTTTTGTTTAGTTTTGAGTCGGGTTTGAGCCCCACGGGGGCTGCATCCTGGTTGATTGTAAACGGGCTCGGTTGTGAAGCTCAAACGGAGCCTGTGGAGCTCACAGAGGCGACTCCCTCCAGGGTTCACCACAGATCCTCTCACACTAGTGTCTGAAGGGCTCACAGATGGAGGGAGCGTTTCGTTTTCGAAGCGTTTCGGGCTCAGAAATTATGAGAAAGTCAAATGAAGGCAGCTTTAAACCAAATAGAACAACATGTAAATGCGTGCTTACTGACGTCTGTTGTGTTATTGTTGTGTTGGGTTATTGTCGTCGACTCGTGGATGTTCATGGACTTGTTTGCTCGTTTTTACGAGGGGGGGGCTCCAGGGCCCAGAGGCCCGATCGGCAGACCTGATCAATACCCCCATCGACCCCAACAGCCCTAATTTTTACCCGCACGGTCAGATGAATGGAACCGCGTCAAGAGATAGACACATTGGTCAGAATTAGCTCCAGAAAACGAGGTCCGGAGCCAAAGAGACGCCAATAAAACCGCCAAAAACTCTGAAAATGGAGGGAACCGGTGGAGAAATCTGAGGGAAGCCAGGAAACTTTCACATCTGACCTCTTTTAACCCCCCAAATTGTCCAGATCCTTCTGAAAACGAACATAAAGTCACAGTTTTGGTCATCCTGCGGTCTGAGAACTCGTCCTTAAACGTTCTGCTTGTGTTCTGCTTTCTTTCCTCTTTGGGGATGAATCAGCCGGTCAAGAAGAAGAAGATCAAACGAGAGATCAAGATCCTGGAAAACCTCCGAGGGGGGACCAACATCATCCGGCTGGTGGACACAGTCAAAGACCCGGTGGTAGGCCACCTTTCTCACCCTTAGGCTGGAGGCTGTGAGCTCTTCTGGCATAAATCTGCAGCAGGAGAGTCTCTGTGCCCGGTGGCGTCTGCAGCCTGCCGGTTTGAGTCAGAAACAAAGAAAAACATCTCCCATTGTTGCTCTAGAAAAAAAAGGAAAAGGGAAATGCCAACAAAAGGAGACAGGAGGAGTATTTTTAGCTCCTGACTCAGCTGAGGGGCTGGTGGGCTGTTTGGGGTCTTTTTTCTGTCAGAAATGTCTGATTTGCATTTGGCAGAGATGCAGCTCTGAGAGAGTGCTGAGTCAGGGGTCAGAGGGCGTGACCTCTGACCCCTGACTTCCATCAGAAGTCGCTTCTCTGTGGCCCTTTGATTTGTTTATAGTAGATGTCTTTGTTTGTTTATCTAAAATGTAGTTGTTTGTTTTACAATTGATTATTTTAGGAATATTTACTGTAGAGGTTTAAATATTAAAAAAAAAAAATTAGTTGATTTATCTAATTCTTTATTCATTTGTCTTATTCTTTTCAAGAGTTTTTTTAAACTAAAACATCCATTTATTTAACGCTTATTTATTCAATGTTTGACCATTTTTTTTATTGATTAATGTATTTGTACGGATTGTACAGTTTTTTAAAGTGCTCACTTTAAGGACTTGATTCATTTCTTGTTTTTTTTCTCAAATTTTCTCAAATTTCTAAATATTTTTGTACTAAATTATACATTTGTAAAGTACTTTTTTCAAATTCAATTGAACTATTTTTATAAAAAATTTTATCCTGTTTTTTAAAAACAATCAAATTTTTTCAATTGATTCCTTTGTGTCGAATTTTTTCTAAATAAAAGTATTTTTACGACTGCAATCATTTGTTGATTTATTTTTTCATCTGTATTTATCTAATTTTTCTAAATCTTCTTTTTCTAAACAATTAATTTGTTCAATTTTTATTATATAATACATCTCTTTAAGATTTTTTTTAAATTTAGATTCCCATTTTTTGTAATCATTATCTTTTGTTTTTTTAATTGATTTTTTTTGTATATTTTTTTTTTTATGTGTTTAATATTCCAATTTGATTAATTGTTGATTCTTTTCTGTATTTATTATCTATCCGTTGCCTCCCTGTGGCTGTGCAGTCCAGAACTCCGGCGCTCGTCTTTGAATGCATCAATAACACAGACTTTAAGGTACCCCCCCCCCCCCCCC